ACACACACACACACACACACACACACACACACACACACACACACACACACACACACACACACAATACAAATATATAATATACAAAAATTCTGTGTGTCTCCTGGGGTCTAAGCCTCCCTTGTTTTTAAAACCTAGTGACGCCCCTGCATACTTCCATGCGTGGCTGTGTGATATATTCATTCTGAAGCTGAATTAAAGCAGTAGGCTAACTCGCTAATGGTAAACATGTGAGTTTGTTAATAAACTGGCAGGTACAACAGTGATAAACTACTTTTGCGAGGGAATGCAAAAGGTATTGTGAGGTAACACAATACTATTGCGTGAGAACGCAAAAGAAAAATATTCTCCCGTGTCTCCTCGCCTGCTCCGTACACGGGCTCTGTAGTTTAAAGCGTTAAAAACATTAAAAAAAAAAACACTGGCACACCATTAGCTTAGCATGAATGAAGACATAGTCTGTGCTCTAGTGTTGCAATTGATAAGAAACTGAACTATTAGAACGATCACTTCAATGTTGACTTGACTTTCTCTTTAAACCTCACAGCATTAGACTATGGTTCCAAAAACACAACATGGCAGCTCCTGTGAACAGAGTCATGATGTCTTCAATCCCCAGCAACAGGAGAAGGTAAAAACAAATTGGTCTAATATGATAATAAAACCCTAATTCTCTGGACATTGTGTAAAAATATATAAAAAGGAAAAACAATCCACATTCCATAAACCATAAACTTCATTGGCACATAATAAACACATGTTTGAGCTAAACATTGTTCCAATCTAAAAAAAAAAAAAAGTAAAGGTCTATAACACACATTAGAATTTAGAGAAAGCTATGTTTACAGCTGTGAATCATCCCCTCTTAAAAACAAGTCTGTAAACATACAGGAACTGAGAGCAGAATGTTGTTCCATTCTTGTCTGATGGAAAATTCTAGCTGTTCAACAGTCCTGGGTTTTTGCCAGATTTTTCATTTCATTAATGGTCAAGTGTTTTCATTTGGTGGTCTCATGCAGGCAGGCCAGTTCAGTTCCAAGATTCTTTTATGACGTTATGCTATTATGTGATGGATGTAGCTTATATTATCTTGCTGAAATATGCAGGACCTTCCATAAAACAGACATGGTCAGCATGTGTTACTGAAAAAAAAATGGTATGTACTTTTCTGCATTAATCAAGATTTTCCAGATGTGTAAGCTGCCCAAGCCGGATACTACTGCACCCCCACGCCATCAGAGAGGCAGACTTTATCCATACAAACATTTTTTTTAAATGGCAGTTTTACTGCATTTGGGTAACTGTGCAGCGCTGCAGCGCCGAGAGTTATGACCCATTCTGTCATCTAAGTTGCCCATCCCTGGTGGAAAGCAAAGTGTGGAAAAACAAAAACTGGTAAATTTTGAATAAATTAAACAAATTGATTGAACACTAACAAATAATTGATATTTTTAAAATTCGTTTTATTTTTGTAAGGCATAATCTGTATTTTATTTCAGTAGACTCTCTCTCTCTCTCTCTCTCTCTGTGTGTGTGTGTGTGTGTGTGTGTGTGTGTGTGTGTGTG